GTCTTGGTCTTGCGGCGCGGCCGGTACTTGTAGTCCGGGTATTCTTTCATGTGTACGGCGCGCAGTCGCTTGGCCTCGTCGATGAACGGCCGCTTCTCGGCGTCGGTCAGCAGTTTCCAGTCGGCGCCCAAGCGCTTGCTGATCTCGGAGTTGTGCATCTTGGGGTTCTCCAGGGCCATCTTGCGCCGCTGCCCACGGGACCACACCATGAAGGCGTTCATGGGCCGCTTCACGCGGTCCTGGTCGCTGCCCCCGCCCCCGCCACTCGAGGCCCCACCGTTGCCGCCGCCTGCGTTCGCGCCGCCGGCTGCGTTCGCGCTACTCTTGCCTGCGCCGCTGGGGGCTGCGGGGCCGCCTGCGCCTGCCGCTGGGGTGGGTGGCCCCACGGGGTTCTTGAGCTCGGTCTCCAGCAGGCTGTACATGGCCGGGGCGGGAAGAAGGTGCGCCAGAGTGGCGGGAGGAGAAGGCGCTCCCGGGGCTGGAGCGGCCACGGTGAAAAGGCCTGGGGACTCCGTCGGAGGGGCGCTCGGGGGCCGGTGGGCCAGCGGGTCAGGCGGGAAGGGCAGGCTTGCCAAAGTGCTCCGCGCCAAGTCGGCAGGAACCCGCAGGCTACTCGCACCTGATGCGTTGTCTCGAGCTGGCCGCATTCGCAGTCTGGCCGGGCGCTCGCTGGGTCCCTTATATACCTGCTCGGATCCCCCGGGGTTGGGACTCGGTCCGCCCCTCGCCACCGGGAGGCCCCGTGATTGACAGGCTCACAGTGATGCGCCCTGGCCAATCATCACGGAGTCCCCGTTCGGCCCCACTGGAAAAAAAAAGTTCGGGGAGCCCTTTCGTTCACCCCCACGCCCCTCTTGGGCCTGGTGACGTGATGAGAGTTATTCAGGAGGCGGGAGTCCCAGAGAGCCGCTCAGAGACCACCAATTAGGGTCTCAAAAAGTTTGAAAGAACGAAACTCGAGGAAGTGACGGAGGGGGGAGGGGGCGCGCGAGCAGAATTGGGGGGAAGGGGGGCAGAGGGGCGCCCACGGGGTTCAGAAAACAACTTTGCAGCCGCGTCAGGACCGAGCAGTGCCTGGTCCCGGGGCCACCCTGCAAAGCATCCCGCTGTCTGCGCGGAGGTCCTCCGACCGCTTCTGCTGCAGCGCTAGGGATACTGGGCATCGCCAGTTACCCGGGAGAGCTTGTGGACTCAGGACGCAACGGAGGCACCCCGGGTTGCGGCTCCAAGAAGCCCTCCCTAGAATCGGCCCCTGTCCCAGCAGGACCCTCTGCCGGGAAGTCGCGGGCCTGCGCTCCCAGGACGGAGCCGGGGTCAGGGACCGGGGCACGGGAGACAGGCTTCCGAACCGCGGAGCGCAAGGGGGCTGTGGGGCTCTCCGCTGGTTTGAGTGAAGGCGAGCAGTCAGCCGCCTGCTGCCCGAGCCGGGCGGAGGCGCTCACATGCGGTGGCGCGGACAGTGTGTGTGGGGCGGAGGGGGTGAACCGGCCTCGGCTCTCTCGCTCCAGGCCCCCGCTTAGCGGCCCCTTTTTGTTTCTGCTCTCTGGCCATTTCGGTTTTTCCAGTCCGATGCCCCTGAGGGGGAGGGTCGGGCCCCTTGGAAAATCCGTTTTCATGGCAACACGGAGCCTCTCCAAGTGAAAGAAAAGTTTCTTGGAGGTGGGGGGGGGGGAGGGACGGTGGCCGGAGTGGAGCCGAGGCCGTCCTCCGGGCGGACCGCCGGGCCCCCTCCACTGGCCGCGCACCTGCCAGGACCACTGAGCGCTGCTCTCGCTGCGCAGCCGTGCCGCCTCCCCGCGGAGCAGGCTCTGCTAACGGATTCCGTCCTTCTCCTTTTTTGTTTTACAGCCATTCCTGGCCAAAGCCTCGAGACTCGAGCGGGACATTCACCCGCATGTCATGTTGTCTGCCAAAGACTAGTGTCTCGGGAACCCCGGCTACGGGGAGAGGGAACCCGGACAATCGCCTTCGCCAGCCTGAGCGAGTGGCACAGCGTTTGAAACTCCGGGAGCTGCCCGAGGCGACGGGTGGGAAGGAGGAGCGAGCCAGGCAGAAGTGGCAGAGACTGAAAGAAGGTGTCCGCGCCGTGTGGTCCCCTTCCCCCAGCCTCGTGGAAAGATGAGGAACCAAAAGAAAAGCGTAAATCCTAAGTGTGAAAAAAAAAACCCCAAAACCAAAAACCCAGGCTTTTAGCTCCTTAGCGCTAATGCAAAACCAGGCGATCCGGGGACATCTGCACGCTGGGAGCTACCCCTCTTTCCTGCACAAATTTAAAAGTATACCGTTGTGACTTGGGAGGGGGGTGGCGTAGAGCAGGCCAGCCTCCTCTGGGGTGGGCGGACCGCTGGCACTAGAGTCCTGGCTCCCAGCCGGCATCATCTTCTGGAAATTTTGCGTCTCTAAACCAGCCCCTTAAGTTTGGGTTCCACCTGTCTACGTTCTCTTGCTTTTCTGGCCGGAAGGAAGCAAATGTCCACAGTCAAGGGCTGCAGTCCTTTGAATGGATGTACGATTTAGAGTTTTAAAGTAAACTATCTGGAATGGTTCTGTGTATGGATCTTATGTCTGTGTGTCTGTGTGTGTTTGTGTGTGTGTGCGCGCGCGTGGACGGGTGTGCGCACTTAAGCTGACACAGACTGGAAGACGTGTCTCAGAAAACGGAATGATTTGGCGATCTCCACCAGCACTTGTTTTTTTTGGCAGAACTAGCTGATAAAGTCCATTTTTCCTGGCCAAACCCACCTTCTCCCAAATAAGTCAATGTGCGGTAACCCTGCCCGCCTGCCGCCTTCTCCAGATGCCCTCTCGGGTTCTCTGGGCCTCTGAGGCTGTTGCTAAGTGAAGCGCGTTTTAGGAAACTACCCAACCGACGCGCGGCCTGGCGTCCAGTAGCCTGACAGATGTCAGGATTCTTTCCAAGTTTTAGGACCCAAGTAAGCCGTTGTGGTGACAGCGCCTGGGCTGCATATTTCCCAAGGCGAGGGATGCGGCGCTGGGTCTGTACTCCTCCCCGGAGCAGATTATGGGGGGGGGGGGGCGTTAGTCACTGCCCCCAGCTGTTTGTCATTTGATCACAACTAGCCCGCGGTTTAGGTGAGCTCATTTGCACATTACATCCTCTGCCAGTATTCCGCCAGGACAGACATCTTCTCCCACAGTCCTGGCTTCCCTCGGAGGCGGCGATTAAAACGGCCTCTGTGCCTGGTGACTCCGGGGTGGTCTAAACAGGCCCAAGCAGGAGTCAAGCCGAATTTCCTCCAAAACATTTCCGAGGAAACGTCCTCAACCCAAACCACCATTTCAATAGTCGAACAAGGTCATTGCAGGCGTGGGGAGGTGGGGGGAAGGCTGGAAGGAAACCCGTTCTCCTGGTCCACTAGCAGTGCAGGCGCAAGCACCAGCCGAGCGGCGCGATCTTAGCTGGGGGTCGGGAGAAGGGTCGCGGCAGGTACTGCTGCCCGAGGGCCTCGATTCAGGAGGGGGCTGCGGGGAGGCAAGACAGCCAGCGGAGCCAGAATCCGTGTCTCTGACACGAACTCTGCACCGAGTGAGGGAAGCAAGGGACACAGCAGGATCCAAGACCAGTTCTTTCCATCCTCTTCCGGAGAAGAGAGCGCGTTCGGCAGCTCTCTTGCCCTTTGGGGCCTCCGGGCACACAGAGCCCCGGATGGCGGGCTGGGAACCCGGCCAAACACACCCTCCCCATTCCCTTTGCCCTCCCAAGAGAGCTCCGGCTCCCTCCGACTGGGGCTGGGGATCCCAAGACCCAGGGCGTGGCAACAGCGCCGTTTGTTGGCTTTGGTTGGAAACTTCACCAAGAGGCGCCCCTTCCCGCCCTCCGGGGCTTCGAGGTCGCCCCAACCCTTTAAGGAGAGGCAGCTGGTTTTGCCGCCGGGCAGAAGTGGTGCTTATCCTTAGAGGGCTGGTTAGCGCGAAACTCGGGGGACCCGGGCTCTAGCGTGTTGGCCTGGCGGGCCGCGGGTGCATAGTGCGCTCCCACTCTTCCATCCTCCGGTTTCGAGCCTTGGCAGAAATCAGGTGTCCCGAGGGCCTCATACCTGCAAAGTATACTTGAGCAGTTGTGCCATAGAGCTACTGGTAGAGCAGAGTAAGGGAGGGGCTATCCCATCA